GCTATTTTAAATAAGTTACCCATTGATGGTATTCAAGATTTGGGTATTTTTAGTAGATACATTAAAATTTGCCCCAAAACACTAATTATAGAGCAACAATCATAAAATATGGCAACACCAACCCTTCTCACCTTTTAGCCTTCAAAGTAAGTAATAAGAAAAAAATTAATCCATAAAATGTCGAAGGAGATCAAATAAAAATATGAAGAGATGTGCACAAAAACTCAATCAGGCTGTGTATAATGGGGAGAAACGTAAGGAATAGAGAACTGCTGGGCTTGGTGCTACACGTCAGTAATCTCAATTACTAGGGAGGCTAAGGCAGGAGGGTCTTCTCATGTTCAAGGCCAGTCTGGGCAATTTAGCAATAGCAGGTCTCCAAATAAAAAATAAATTGCGCCAATAGCTCAGCAGATTAAAGTGCCTGCAAGCAGGCACAGAGGCCAGGGGTTCGATCCCTGGGCCTGCCATGTTGGCCTCACCCCTGGATTGCAACTGAGACTGGGCGTGGTGGTGCAGGCCTGTGATCCCAGCTCTTGGGAGGCTGTAAACAGGCGGATCACTATGAGTCCAATCTAGTAGTGAGACCCTGAACACCCTGTAGACCCTTCCCTCAAAAAAATACAAATAAATAAATAGAAAGTAAATTTAAAAGGCCTGAGGTATACCTCAGAAGTACAACACTTGTCTATCAGGCACAATAGGGTCCAATTTGTGGTACAGAAAGAAACGTAGTCATCTGTCTGACAAGAAGGCCTGCCAACAGGTTGGCCTACTAGAGCATAACTAACTCACAATGGCACATTGGACATAAACCCTTCACTCTGTTTATTGCACCTTTTATGCAGGGGGCCCTAGAATAAGTTTGGGGTGCTAGAAAAGGGTTTAAGTCATAACAACTGAAAAATGAATTGATTTAGTTTATTCCTGAGTGAAAAGATGCCTATATTTTTATAGGAAGAGTGGAATAGGTGGGTGCATTCCTGCACAATGTTTTCAGCAGGTTTGTCTTCATCATTGTTAAAGAAATCCTTCACACTGAGGATGACAAGCTCTGATGTCACAGGAACTGTTACCTAAAGTCCCATTGAGTGGTCTTGTGTGTTTAAGATTTAAAAATGTGAAGGGCCAGCCAGATAGCTCAGCGGGTTAAAGTGCCTACTTAGGCAGATGCAGGGGCTAGCAGTTCGATCCCCGGGCCTGCTGTGCTGGCCCCATCCGCAGAGCATGCTGAGACAGCAATTGAGACTGGGCATGGTGGCGTGCATCTGTAATCTCAGAACTTGAGAGGGTGAAAACAGCAGGATCACTACGAGTCTGATCTGTATAGTGAGACCTTGTAGATCTTGTACTAAAATACATTAAAAAATTTTTTTAAATGTGTAGAACTTTCAGATGCAATCAGTGGAATCTCCCTTCTGAGGTGAGATTAATGGTGATTTCTGATTGCAGACTCAGATGTACCAGTCATCTCTACATTCCTGAATTACAACACAGTACCGAGCCCAATTAATCTCTGCTATATAATAAGCACACAAACATGGACAGGGACAAAAATGAGGCTAGATTTATCTACTGCACAAAACTAACACGGTCAGCACTTCTTACTCCACTGGCTACAGAGGGAGCCTAATTATCAAAGGGCTAGCACAAAGCCAATTATAGGAGCATGTCTAGTTCTAGTTGAATCTTTTTTTCTGCAGTCAGTGGAATCAAACAAGTTTTGCTAATATTCATGGGTCTTTATTTAATCAACCTATTTTTGGCAAAATGATGTACACCTGCAGTCTATTGGCATTTCATAATGTATCTCCCGTCACTCTTAGTAAAATGGTTTTAACCATAAGTGGTACTGAGATTTGCATACATTGAAATAGCACCACATCACATTCTCTTTCCCCAGCTTTTCGCCCATTGTGCTGATTTTCTAAAATTATTCTCTAAATAATGTTCAGTCTTCTCCTTCCATGAAAATGCAAGGTGTGTGGGGGCAAAAACTCCTATCTTATCACCGTATCTGCAGTACTCATAGCTTGAAACGAAGCAAGTGTTCAGTAACTATTCACTGAATGAACAAACTTATAGTCTGGCTTGGCAAAGTAAAGAGCCAATAGAAATTTTCAACAGGATCTATATTCTGTACTAGAATCATAATTTTATAGTAGCTGAGAAGGCTTTCAGAGAATTAGTTATTTATGGCAGTTTTTACAGATATAAAATGTGGACTGGAGATTCTGGAAATGTCCCTGGTCCTTGATGACCTCTTAAAAGCATTCAAAATTCTGTGGTTATTAGGAATAGCTAAGAATGCTAGTTCTGAAATTATTGTGGCAAATGTGGAATGCCTTTCAGGTGTTCATATTAATCCTCACTAGCCATCCGAGTATGTTTAACTAAATTAAATCTCTTTGCTGGCACTTGCTCTTTCTCCCTGTCTTGGGCACCCACACATATACATGGAAACTTTTTCTTTGCTAAAGAGAAAAACCATATACACTTCCCGCTTCCCATCACTGTGTCGAAATGCCTAACAGATTGAGAAGGGAAGACTGAGTTTGGCTCAAGGTCTCAATCCTGCGTCAGCTGGTTTTATTGCTTTTATGTCCCTGGCAAGCAGAGACATCTGGGTGCAAGGGCGAGAGGAAACCTGCTCAGCTTACAGCAGCCAGGAAGGGGGGAGGGGGCAACAAGGAGCAGAGGAAGAGATGGGGAAGAAGACAGGCCTCACGGTCATGTCCCACAATCCACTGCTTCCAACTAGGCCCCACCTCCTGTTTCCATGGCTTCTCGGTGTTACCCTCACATTACATCTGATTAACAGACTTAACAGCTAAGGAAGCTCGAGCCTTTCTGATTCAATCGCTTCTCCCCCAGTCTCACCTCAGACCTACCCACTGTGTAGAAGCTGGTGGCCCACTTGGAGCTGGCGATGGGGCTCTCCCTTTCCAACCAGGGAAGGGTTGGCGACTTCTCATGACAACGTCTTCACCTGCATGACAGGTGCTACTGCAAACACACTATCAGAAAATCTGCCCTTTGTGTGATGCACGACTACCAAGGCCCTGATACCACAACTTCTCAGACTCGCTCCCTCCAGTCCCGGTACTACCCCTCCAGATGGGAGGTGGGCTTGGCTTCCTGTGACCCCAGGTGGAGATGACTGTAACTCCTCGGGCTCAAGCTGACTCAGAGAGACAGAGTACCTCAGAATGTAGGGTGTGTTGTGTCCATGAAACAACTCCCCCTGATGAATGGAATTCATGTGCACTGCAGACAGGTACTAATAAAGTAAACATTTTAAAAACGAACAAATACAATAAAGGGAGAATTACACTTTTAAGAAAATAGAATATCCTTCTAGCTTGGCTTTTTGAAGTTATCTTTTGAATTCTTAGCACCCTCACTAGCTAAACCATAAACGTACATTTAGTATGCGGATGGCTTCTCTCTTCTCCAGAGGGAAAAAAAATACCTCAGAAAAAAACTGTTCACATACACTGAACTCTGGTACATCTAATTTATTCCAATGCCCATTATTAGATCAGTAAAAACTGAACTCTGAGGAACAGTTACACACAAAGGTACTAGTCACTGAGTGAACCTTATGCCCAAAGTTCTCCACGGAATTCCCCAGTCACCCCATAGTGCTGACTGCCCAGTAAGTAAAATTTAGTCATTTGTAGTCAGGACATCATCTATGACTGGTGATGTGGGCAGCTTTAAAAAGTTAAAACTCAAAATGTATATTAAGACCAGGCTGCATGCCAAAAAACACTCAGATTTTATAAGGACTTTTACAAAGACTTAAGACTATTAGCAGTATAATAATCATAGTGAGTCAACGAACCTTTTTCTCAAGTTACAGCTTTTACAGTGGTACTTTTTAGCTGCAATTGATCTTGTCATTCCTGGTAGGATCTGAAAGCACTTTTGGTTATCACAGCTGGGAGTGGAGGAGGAGAACATGATGCTGGAACCTGGTGGGTAGAGGCCAGGGAGGCTGCTAAAACATCCTCCCATGCCCAGGGCAGCCTTCCAAAACAAAGGATTGTCCAAGCCAAAACGTAAATAGTGCTGAGGCTGAGAAACCCAGCTTTATACGACAGAAATCAAAAGCATGGAAAACCAGCATGATGTTTGGGAGCCCAGGGGCTCCGGTGAAGCCCGGCTCATTCTCTATGACTGTGAGTCCTGGACACAGCATAGGGCGGCAAGGCTTCACACTGTGCTTAATAAAGTCGCGCTGTGGGATCAAGCAGATGGCTTTCCGCTGGTATCAGTCGGCCAGTGACGGAATTAAGAGAGGCGCCTCTCTGCTCAGTGGGTGGACAAGCATCCTGGTTGTGGTACAAGGAAGACAAAATCATGGCCTAGTCACTGAATTACAATGTCAAGTAGCACCGGTGCTAATAACGGTAGGAACCTCTGGGCCAGAAAACTCGGGTCTTTGGAAGAAAGAAACACATTATCAGGCAGTCTGTTGGCTAGGACTGATGCTGCCAGGCCTGATCAGCAGCAGGAACAGCTGCAAATCCAGACGCTAGCCTGTCAATGTGGGTGAAAAGATGTCTGAGACATGATGAGATCTCAAGCAGAAAACATGGATCCAGCTGGGTCTAGACCTCATTTTGGACCTCACTGTGAAAGTCCAGGCAAGTCTCAAACCTTCACTGTAAAATCAGGAGCTAGCCTTGCTCTACAGAATTGCCACTTAGTTCTATCATTCTCATTCAATAATGTCCTAACCACTTGCTGTGGTATCAAAGGATAAGGGAGACTGCACCAAGGTGCCAGTGAGGTATACTTATTCATTTGCAATAGTAGGTAGCAAAAGAAATAAAGGACAAAAAGACACACATAGGCTTGCTCAGCCAGGAAGACCTTTAATTGGATAATTATTCATTCAACAGATATCTGCTGAGCTGCTCCTCTGAATAAGGTATAAAAAGTTTTATTTATATACACACACACACGTGTGTGTGTGTGTGTGTGTGTGTGTGTGTGTGTGTGTGTTTAAATTGTCTTAAACAAACCTAAGAAGCTCTTTAAACTTTATTTCCTCAGATTTACAGCAGCTAATACTCAGTGCCACCAGTAAGTCCCTTGCTGTACCCTGCACAGGACAGATGGGTCTCCATTAGCTCATATGGTTCCAGGTGGTGCTGACACAGCAGAGATTTGAATATTACTCTCTGTGGGGAGCAGAGATGAAAATTCTGTATTTAACCTGCTGACAACCTCCTATTACAACTTTCTTCACAGCCCTGGATTTTAGAGATCCAAAGCGTGTATGAAGAATATATGCCAACAAGAACATTCAAAACTTCAGTGAAACATGCCCAGTGTGCACTTCCGGCTCGCGCCTTTGTGACTGGTGCCTGCAGAGCTGAGGGCCTTCAGGGTGCTCCGTCAGGGACAGCTGTTTGCTGGGCAGCAGAATGCTCAGCTCCAACAGCTACATCTTCAGAAAGGCCACCTGGAAAAGAAAGAAAGGTTCACGGTGCATTACTGCTACGTCACGCACGCTGAGCTCCTACATGCACATTAAATCAGAAGCAGGAAAGTCTGGACAATAAGAACGCATATTGCAAAGGGAAAAGGACTTACTAGAGCCAGAGACTGCATTTTATAAGCAAGAACCAATTAGTCTCTTTTAAATGAACCATGGAGTACTCAAAATGATTCACATGCACTCTAAAGAAAAAAAAAATAAAGTTTTAATTGACACTAAAGTTATACTGCCATGAAGTAATTCAGTTCTCTCTCCCATTGGATCCAACTACTGTTTTGGACCTTCCAGAGCAGAATTCTGATGTCAGAGACGGCGAGGCAATTCTAAGTCCTCATCACTGTTGCTAATTACACCAGCTTCTCCCCAGGTCATGCTGACAGTTTTAATCACATGCAATTACACTTATCGTGTTTGTCAGTAACAATTCATCTTAAAACCTAGTTTAAGAGAAAATTTTAATTCACACTGCTTGTTTGCAAAAATATTTTCAGCCTACTAATGAAGCTGATCAAATAAAAGATCAAATGCATCAAATTTCCTCATAGTTTTAATCTCAAAGTAACAAATACTTATGATAAAGTCAATCCAAAGTTTAGAAAGTTATAGTTCAGCGATAACAATAATTTGGGAATTGCAATAATACCAAGAATAGAGCCAAAAGTAGAAATACTGACTGGGAAGAGTGAGAGCTGGGGAAGCTCATGCTTGACCAGGAAAGGTGGGCTGGGTAAGAAATACAAGAGGGACATCTGTCCACAGTACCAGGAAAGCCAGTTCCTAAGTCCCCAAATGCAATCAGAGGAGGCACATATTTAATGAGCCCTGTTAAGGGGAAAGGAGAAAGGAAGAGTCATGCAGGGTGGAAGGCATCTGCTCTGTGCTGAGTAATTTAGAAGGGTGCTACTCTTCATACAGCACTGGTAAGAAAGAAACCCGCTGCATTTCCATATCCACTTCCTGCTGAGTTTCTATATCAAGTTTTGCAGTAAGAGCACCAAAGCTGAAGGAACAAGCACAAAAGAAAGGGTAAGGTTCCGAAACAAAACGTAAACATGATTAATTGATGTAAACCTCAAGGGTTTATTGTGCAGATCAAATGAGGAGGGGAGTGAAAAATCTATGTTCCTTTCCCTCGTCTCTCAGTTAACAATAGGTGTGAGGAGCCCATGAATAGATGAGACGGGAGGGGACTGTTCACAGAGACTCATCGATGGCCCACCAGGAACGCTGGTAGAAGTCCACAGAAAGGCAGGCCAGAGGTCCTTGAGCGGGACTCGGCGCACTTGGGACAGCACAGCTGGCAGATGGTGCTCGGCCTCTGTCAACAGTTCATAGGGACAGGAACCTTTCCAACTTACAAGGCAATGTCACTGCACATTCAGAAACTGGAAGAGGATGGATGAAAGCAGTAACTCTGGGAGTTGCTACGGTGTGGAGTATTCCAGCACAGAACAGAAATGACTCGGTATGGAAAACAACTGCAGCTCCAAAGTCACACAGACCAGCCTCTCATGTGGGAGACAACTTCGCTCACAAAGGAAGACGGGGCAGTGTCCAGAGCCAGCCTTGTTGTCAGTACCCGGGACGGGGTAGCTATTAGCATCTGGGAGGCAGAGACAGAGATGTTGTCCACTCCCTAAGCCCACAAGACAGCCCCCATAATAAAGAAAGGCCAGCCCCAACGCCCGAGTGCCAGTGTTGAGAAACAGGGACTACCAACGAGTGTGTTGGAGCCAGTTTTCGCTTACTGCTGTGTGACTTTTCAGAGACTTGTGAGCCTCTTTCAACCTTTTCCTGTCTATAGATGGGAATTACAACAGGACATACATGAAACATGGAAAACCTTGCACAGTACATTACGTTTCCGGCTCCTCATCAGCACAGTCCTAGGGCAGCTCTGCACACGTATGGTACGCACGCTGCAGCCGGCTGTTCGTCCCTGAAAGCTCTAAAAGTTTTGTCATCACTGTCCTGAGATTTAGGAAAAGCAACACAAGGAACTTTGCTTTACAAATATAGAAACAGAAGCTCAGAAATAAAGTGACTTTCTCAGGTAACAAAGCCTGTTGAGTGGCACTGCTGAGGAGGGAGAAATTTGGATTTCAAACCCACTTTTTCCCCACTGTAACTCTGCAGATGAGTAAGAACAAACGGAAGGTGTGTGCATTTAGAGTCTTCAGCATCGCCCCCAATAACAGGAGATTGCTTTTCTTTGGCAAGTCTGTGACGGGGAGCTCAAGACAGGGATCTAACCTGCCTGAGCAGGGCCAGATAGAGCCCCTATCAAAAGAGAAAAACTCCGAGTGACCCCTGGGCCTCTGCATCACCGCTGGTCACCAGAGTTTTGCCTAGCAAATACATCATGCATTTTTTCAGGATTTAAAAACAAAAACCTGCAGTCACTAGTTCCGTTTCAGACTGAGTTCACACATTCTAAATGCTGATTTTGTGTTCCCTGGCTTTTATCCATCACAAGAAAAATTGCTTCTCCTCACTGCCATTTATTTTAAGGGGGTATAATCTTATTTTGTCTCACTACATTGTGAAAAATCTCTATTTCATCTTTCTGGTTCTATTCCCCAAAGTAAAGCTTATAAAGCTTTCAGACTATGTGGGTACAGCTGCGGCTTCAGGCTCTGTTGGTTGTTACATTTCTGGAATATACGGTCATAAAACATAAGAAATTATTAAAAACACGGAAGAAGGGACTCTGTCCTATGGCTATAGGCCTTGACTCTCTGAGAGTTATGCAGCCGAATACAAACATTTGGAATGGATGGAGGAGGTCAGATGCCTAAAAATAAACACAATCTTTGCAAATAAGAATAAAACCAGGGGGCCAGGGAGACAGCTCAGTAGAATAAGTGCTTGCCTGGCAAGCGCAGGGTCCTGAGTTCAATCCCCAGTACCGGGGTGGGGGTGGGGGAATAAAACCAGGCTGATACAGTTGCTGAGCAAACCCTGAGTTTATAATGCTTTAATATACACACACACACACACACACACACACACACACACACACATATATATATATGTATAATATGTTAAATACCTTTTTAGTAAAAAAAAAAGTGTTCTCTTATCTTACTTAACAAAATCGTATTGTAAACTTACTCCTCACCAGAGATTTCCAACTTCAGTCAATAAAAAGATAATGCTGTCAAGGCCGGCTCCACAAGATAAAATTAGCATTTATTTTTCAACAGCATCAATGCTTTGGGGTATGCGAAATAAATCAGATAAAATTATAAAATGCCATACTGGAAAACGCAAGTTTAATAATGGAGGCGTTAGAACGGACTGTCCCACAGCCACACATGCGCCTTTAAAGGGCACTGTTAACTGCAGATCACGTTCAGTTCTCGCTCTCCAGTGTGCACACTGTCTAGGTTCAGCTCATGTTTGATTACATCCTGAAACATACTGCCTCAACAGCGCAGAAAATGAGTTCATAGTCTACATTTTAAAGGGTAGAATATATTTTGTATTATAAAGCCCAGTTTTTAGGAACTAAATTTCTTTTAAAAAATACAACCTATAATAAAAATTTACAACAGAAAGCTATACAAACACAAAATAACTTATAAAATTAACTTTTATAGCATTTACCCAGTATAGTTTGACATTTGAAAATAGTATTGGGATTCAGCAGTTTTAGTAACTCACTAACTCAGCGCTGAATAGACCAGATGAAACCTGGACCCAGCATTTTCCTTTGGATAACCAGCCTAAGACCGTCTTCTCGCAGAGCCGGAAGGGGTGGCAGGGAGTTCAGTCATCTGGTGGATAAGCACCTTCTATGTGCTACCAACTGTTCCAGTCACCAACCACACTGAGAAGAAAGGGCTCCCTCGTGGGAATCACATGGGAGTGAGGAGATGGTCAGAGTGATTCTAATGAGGTAGTGTGAGTTTAAGGTGAATACTTAATACCTGATTAGAGAAAAAAGCACTTCTTGAGTTATGAAGGAAGAGAGGCTTCCGAGGCAGTACCCTTGAGGAGGCAATTACTACTCTATAAATATTGTGTCGGCCAAAAAAAAGCAATGACATTGCAAGGCACAGCACTTGGGACATACTTGTTGCTACTGAAAGATGCTGGCTTGCTCAAAGTATTCCTGGCAAACAGGAGGGACTGAGCAAAATTTCAAAGAGGCAAGAAACAGTCCAATGAGGAAGATGTTGTCCCTCTAAATTGGCAAAAATTGTACAAACACTCAACTGGGGAAAGAGATGCGAGGCTAGGGGACGTCAGCAACCTTCTAATTCAAGCATCTACAATCTGTAAGAAGTCTTTTAAAAAGTAGGATAAAAGATGTGTATCCATAAAATGACATTATCTTGGATTTTCTTTAAACCACACATGTACCATTTCTATATAAATGAAAATCTTGCTTATTTTCATCCACCTAGTAAATAGTTAAACTATACCTCACAGTAGTTTTCAGTGGCTATCTAGGCCAAAAGCCAGGATGAGAAGTGTTAAGTGGGAGAAGTGTGTAGAGGACAAACACACAGGCAATGGACTCTGCCAGATTGGGCTGAAAACGTGGCCCGATGTGGCCCAACGTGGCCCGATGTGGCCCAACGTGGCAGGTGCTAGTTCTCCGAGCCTTCAACAAAGCAGAACAATTCTAGACAGGAGCGTCTCATCACTTCTCTCACAACAAGCAGGTTCTGAGTGTTCTGCGGGCCTGGCTGGTGCTGTCCCAGGAAACAAGCCTTCTCATGGGAACGGCAGCTCTGAAGCTGCCAGCCATATAAGGTAAACTGAGAAACTTACATGACACAGCAACTCCATGGAGCCGACATGTATGCCGACAGTCTTTAGGTGTTCCATAAAAATATACGGCCTCAAGCACAAAACCTATCGGGAAGGTAATGACGCTCATATATACGGGTGGGGGAGTGGGCGCTGCAGTGTGACACAAAGCCTCACACAGTAGCAGGCATGCAAAATCTCTA